CTTGGGCACCCCGGCGACCCTGCCGGTGCGCACGCGGGCCGCCGCAACGGCAGCGCGCACTCGGGTCTGTCAGCCCCTGGCGCCAGAAGGCCAAAAGGGGGACGGGGGAATCGGGGGAAAGGCGCACCGCGAGGGGGGGGAGGGGGAAGGGGGAAGAAGAAGGAGGGATTGAGGGAGGGAGGGGGAAGAAGAAGGAGGAAGGAGGGAGGGAGGGGGAAGGGGGAAGGGGGAAGAAGAAGGAGGAAGGGGGAAGGGGGGAGGGGGAAGAAGGAGGAGGAAGGAGGGAGGGAGGATGGGTGAGCTAGGGGAGGGGGGAGGGCGCGCCTGGAGGGGGAGAGGAGAGGAACGGGGGGAGGATGGGGGAAGCTGGAGGAGGGAAGCTGGAAGAGGGATGGAGGATGGGGAGGGGGAAAGCGCATCGGGAGGGGGGGTGGAGGCCGGTGGAGGAGGGACGGGGGGGAATGGCGGAGGGGAGGTGGAGGATAGAGGAAGGGGTGCGGAGGATGGAGGAGCGAGGAGGGAAGATGGATGATTATGGATGATGGAGGAGTGAGGGGGGGACATGGAGGATGGAAGAGTGAGGATGAATGGATGAGGGATGAAGATGGGGAGGGGAATGGAAGATGGAAAAGGTGAGGAGGGGGAGGGGGAGGCACAAAAAAACAACTAGAAAACGACAGGTAGATATTACGGTATGTGTTTCTGGGTTGTTGTCGTGGCTTCTATTCCTATCTATACATGTTTAATAGGTCAGCAGGAAGCGCCGGATCCCCCCCTAACGAATTTGGCCACCCCCGGGCCTGCAGGCAACCATCCAGACGACCCAGGAGAACCTCACGAGAGCCCGAAAACTGCCCCAAACGGGTTGCAGGCGCTCCGGCGCGCTCCCGAAACGACCCCAAAGAGCCCCAATACGGTCCACGACGACCCCCGAGAAGCCGTCATGCCCCCAAAGATCGCTCCAAAACGTTCCAGGAGGCCTCCAAGAGCACTCCCAAGAAGGCCACAAGAGGCAACGTTCATTGATTTTCGGTGGGTTTTTGGTGAATTTTATGGTTATCCTCTTTTCGGCTTCCCGACGCTCCAAGAAGGGATCGTCCGGGCGTCCGAAACCGCCTGGGAGGCTCCAACATCGCCCCAAAACCATCCGAAAGGGCTTCCAAACAATCCAAGAGAGCCCCCAAAACGGCACAACACGGGTCCAAGATGGCCCTAAGAGAACCCCATGGCGGCTCAAAATGGCCCCAAGACACCCTCCGAAGCATTCCAAATCGTGACCCGGTCGTCCAGGGAGACCGCGGTTGGAGGCAGGGTGGCCCGAGGAAGCCCCCAGAGGCCCCCAGAACACGCCCAGGAGGCCTCCGAAGGCCTCAAGAAAGTTTGAACAACTTTTGTGAGGCCCCCAAACGCTATGCAAGGAGGAGACTCCGCAAAAAGAGCTGAGGAAGATGGGGAGAATGCGCAGGGCATGGTGAGAATGAAGAAAATAAGCATGGAGGAAAAATAACGAGTACCATTATTATAACGGCGATGCCGGAAAAGGCAACAAGGAGTTATCGCTAATTTGTCGGCTTGACCGTCCTCCCATTCCGCCTGCATACCAAACTTCAAGGACCAAGGTGCATGGCGCGAAGCGTCACTGCAGTCTTGTGCGTGTATATACACATATATATATACATATACATATACATATACATATACATGTACATATACACATACATATACAAGTGCATATACATATACATATACATATACATATACATATACCTATACCTATACCAATACACATACATATGACATATACATATACACATCCACATACACATACACATACACATACACATACACATACATATACAGATACCTATACCTATACATATACATATACATATACATAAACATAATCATACACATATACATATACATATACATATATATGTATACATACATATATATATATATATATATATATATGTGCATATATGTATATATACTCCCTTTTCTATTTTTTTTCAATCGGGGGGGAGGGGCCCCCCCTCCCCCGGGAGACCCGACCCCCTCGAGGTCCGATCCGGATTCCATGGACTCGCCGGATTTCCCGGACTCGCCGGACTGCACGAGACTTTTGGATCTATGGACGTCCCTGACGTCCAGCGGGAGGGCCAGCGGGAGACTCCCAAGACAGCCCCAGAACCTCCAAGACGCTCCAAGAAGCCCTCCAAGAGGCCCCCCGAGGCAAAAATCATTAGTTTGTTATGATTTTTGGTGAATTTTGGGGTTCTCCTCTTTTCGGCTTCCCGACGCTCCAAGACGGCGGTCTTCTGGGCGTCCGAAGCCGCCTGGGAGGCTCCCAAATCGCCCCACAACCATCCGAAAGGGCTTCCAGGCAGTCCAAGAGAGCCCCAAAACGGCACAACACGGGTCCAAGATGGCCCTCAGAGAGCCCCATGGCGGCCCAAGATGGCCCAAAGACACCCTCCGAAGAATTCCAAATCGTGATTCGGTCGTTCAGGGAGACGGCGGTTGGAGGCAGGGTGGCCCGAGGAAGACCCTGGAGGCCCCCAGAATACGCCCAGGAGGCCTCCAGAAGGCCTTAAGAAAGCCCGAAACAACTTTTGTGAGGCCCCTAGAAGCTCTCCAAAGAGGAGCTTCCGCAAAAAAGAGCTGAGGAGGATGTGGAGAATGCGCAGGGTATGGCGAAAATAATGAACAATAAGCATGGAGAAAAGATAACGAATAACATAATTATAGCTGCGATGCCGGAAAAGGCAACCAGGAGTTATCGCTAAATTGTCGGCTTGACCTTCCTGCCATTCCGCCTGCAAACCAAAGTTCAAGGACCAAGGTGCATGGCGCGAAGCGCCACTGCAGTCTTGTACATATGTATGTATGTATGTATGTATGTATATATATATATATATATATATATATATATATATGGACGCTTCTTTATCTATGAAATTACAAAAAAAAACGGGCAACCGGCCCCCCCCCATGAACGCTGCGGGCCCACCATGGGCCCCTCCTAAACGCCCAACAAGTGCCCACCTAACCTCCAAGCGGGCCCCCCGAGCGTCCCATGACGGCTACAGACGACCCCAAGACGGCTACGGAAGACCCCAGGAGCCCTCAGGAAGCCCTGCAGCGCCCCCAGGATGGCCCAAGACCTGCCGAGCATCGCCAGTTGATGGCACCATAGGCTGCGACAGCGGCCCCGAGAGGCCCCAAGAGGACTGCCAAGAAGGCCCTGTCACGCCTTTGGTTTCGGTACGAGTTTTGCATTCTGGGTTTCTCGAACCAAGAGCACCCAAAACAGAAAGGCCCCTGACATCGCCGTAAAGTTGCCCACCAGGCGCCCACGAGGGCTCCAAAAAGGGCCCCAAGACGACCCAAGAGCGGCCCAACCCGGCTTCCGACAGCCCCACGACACCCCAAAACGGCCCCCGGGGGGCTCAAGACGGCCCAAGACAGCCCCATGATTGCCCAACGGTGCCCCCGGACCCCCCTAGAGCAGCCCCACGACGCCCCCAAGATGGCGCAACAGGGCCCAGATGGCCTCCAAGGGCCACAGGATGGCCCAAGAGGCTTCCAAAAGGCCCCCACACAAACCGCTGACGTTCTGCTGTTGGAGGCTCTGCGGTTTTGCTCATGGTACTTCTCGGACTTCTCGCACCGCACACGACGTGTCCTGCAAATGCTCCTGCACACTCTCCTCCTGCGTCCTGGTCCTCCAGCTCCTGCTGTTGCGACTGCTTCGGCTGCGCTGCTGTTCTGCAACTTCCCATTCCCTCTCCTCCACATTCTCCTCCGCTCCCCCCCGGCCTCCATCCCCCCCCCGCTCCTGTCTCCCTTTTCCCCCCCCCACCCTCGCGAGATCCTGGATAAGAAAAAGGGCGGCGGAGGGGCACGCATCGCCAGCGCGCCACCTTCCGCATCCCCACCCATTCCGCTCACAACTCTACTCTTGGAGCCTTCATGCGTTGCCTCCTCAACGCCCCCCCCTCCCCCTTACCTTTCTCGTCCTTCGTCCTTCCCACCCCAGGACGCCCCCCACCTCTCCAGCGCCCTCGGAAGACCTGGGCAGCCTTCCAAATGCAGCGGGCGTGATCACACTTTTTGATCTGCGGGTCGAGACCGCATCTCTTCCAGTCGGCTACCACAAGGTTGCTGCGAGAGCGAGTTGTGCACCAAAGCGGGCAGGGAAAGAAAAAACGGAAGGGAAAGCGGGGCCCGCTCAAATCGTGAAGACCTCATATTGGCATCTCATCGCGCCTCCGATAGTCCCAACAGCCTCAGACGTCTGCGGCCGCACCGTCAGCAATCTTCTCTGGCTCTCAGCGATGGTAGCTGCGCTTCAGGGCACTCTTACTGGAACATCCGTCTTCGGGGCCCCCCAGCCGAATGAGGCATTCGCGCGGCCGCCAGCTACTCCTGGAGTCGTCCCTCGCGCCCCTCCGCCATCCTCAAATTAATTTTTGTCCAGGTTAATATCGTCGCGCCTCTTCTGGGCCTCCACTGCACCGCGGGGAGGAAACAAGGGCCGAGAGCATTGCGTCCACGCGTAGTCGTTTTGGTTCCCGACCCCAGGCGGCCGCGCCGGTGCTGAACGCGCCGTGGCTCTCAACCATCCCAACGCGCGGCTTCCGCGCGCCCGTGCACGTTAGCTGCAGCTCTGTTCCAACGTCGCCCACTCTGAACGATGGGTCCAATGAAAGCCGAATCCTTCACGCGCTCAGTCTGCGCGCACTTGCCGCGCAACCTGTTCGCCCCAAACCACTTGCACAAGTCCAGCGACACTTGCAAGGAACGCGCCTCTAACACCAACGCGCCTGCTTCCAGCTTTCCACGCGCGCGCTGTCACGAGCAGCTCCCGCCGCAAGCTTTCGCCCCGCGCTACCTCCACCGCGGCGACAAAGCGCGCACTTGATGCACTCGGTAACCTACATATTTTCCGTCTGCGCGCTAAGAGCAAAAAACCTTGCCACGCGACGATGCGGCTGCCAGCCGGCGCCGCCGCCGTCAGCAAGCACGTCGGCATCGCTGCCGACGTGGACGACCAGCTGGCGGGATTCCCCG